TTCTCAAGCCACTGGGTCTTGGATTTGAACTTCGCATTCAGCCATGTGGGATCTAGCTCCTTAACCCCCAGACCATGGGGCTGGCTCAACAACATGGTTTTTATAATTGTATGAATTTTAAATAAATTTTACATCAAATGTATACATGATACACTTGATAAAATTTTATAAATTTTATGTTTTATAAATTTTATGTTTAGGAATTTTATGTTTTAATTTTCTCCTATAAATGGTAATTTGCCTAGCAAACCAGAACAAAAATCAATTTGACTAATATCATTGGGTTATCCTAATTGTCAAAAAATAGAAAATGATGTTGTTAAATTAGTTTGTATTAAAATGGGATGAAAAATGTAAGTGTGTCAACATTCTTCTTAGAAGGCCTTATCCAACCTGGTTGAGAGTTCTGACCATTTGACACAGACGAGGACTCAGTTTAGGACCTAGATCATGCCTGGTTTCCCAAATGGTGTGCCCCTTTCTCCACAATAACATACAGATAGTATGTTCATCCAGGTGGCATTATAGATTGCATGAGATGTGCAATTTCTAGCTGGTAGACTCTATTTAACTTAGTTCTCTTATACCTAGAAAGCAAGTCCAAACATAGATGAGTGAAGGTGACATTGCAGTAGAAATAATCTCATTTATTTTATAGCTACAAAGATATTTGTTTAAATGGTAGTTTAACCATTACATTCAACTCAGAATATTGGAGTGTACTCATGAGACTTGCAGATGCACTAAACCCTGGGTAGTTATCACCCACTGATACACGGTACTAGGGGTGGTACAAGGAAGCTTATAGGGAATTCAGCTTGTAGAGAAAAAAGTAATGAAAGCAGGAACCCTGGAGGGAATGCTTGCTCCAGAGGAAATGTCAATATTATACTATTTCACATAAAACGTAGAAACTTTGTAACCATATAGGTCTGTAGGAGTGTGGCTGGCCAGCCCTATTTCTTAAAGACTGGCATCTTGAATGCCCTCAAGGTTTCCCATCCATGCTATACAACAAGCTGGTTCCCTACCTAAGCCAACTGACCCCTGTTAAGATAGATTCTGGGAGCGCATACACTCCCAACCCAGGTGTAGTTTCTTCAAATACCTTTTTTAAAGCCTTGGCTTTGTTCTAGGGGAGAATGGCTTTTGTGCAATGGAGGAGGTAAGATGAAACCTAACAGAGCAACTGTGAGGTTGAAGTTGTATATTCCCAGGGTCCCCAAACACCTGATCCTTTCTTTCATATGATTTTACCCCATAATAAACCCTTGTGCAGTACTTTATTGGAATGTTCTTTTTTTTTTAGAGAGGTTTTTGCTATAGGGCACGTGCGCTTGCCAGTCAGACAGAGAGAGACAGAAAGCAAGAAATCACCCCCCCCCCGGGGGGGGGGGATGGCCACGCCACAATCTCTTCTCTTCCATTACCCTCTCGGGATCTTGGGCACACCCGCATGCACGCGCCAGGAGTGAGTTTTTTAAGCCACTGGGTCCAGGACGCGAACCACGGTTGACTACATAGGAGTCCAGCAACATAGCCATTACACTAACTGCTGGTTCCTGGAATATTCTTGAAGCAGGCCATTTCAAGGTTTAATAGTCTTTTAAAATTAAAGTCTTCTAAGAGAATCATCTGACTAAGTGCTGAGTCATAGATCTGTTTGAGGAATGATCATATAATGAAAAAGGAATGGGTATTGAAAAGAATCAGGATAATTACGCAGAGCAAAGTGATTGACTCTGATTGACTGTAGTGAGGAATGATTTGCATGTGCTTGTATCTTGTACTTAAAAATACTGAGAACATGTTGAGCTTTTGGATACAACTTGGTGGTACATGCTGTCTCCCTGTAACCAGTTACAGAAATAAATTCCTTTCTCCTCCAGCCTTTGCTTCTCATTTCACTGACCATGAGAAGCAGCCAAACTTGGTTGACTAGTAACAGTCTTGTTCTTATTTTTGACCCCACTGATCCTAAACTCAAATAGACCCACTTATACCTCTTTTGTTCCTACCAATGCAATGTCATATCTACATGCATGACTAACCTTACAAAAAAAGTTAATTTTTTTTTTTTTTTGGAGAAGTTTTTGCTATAGGGCACATGTGCTCGCCAGAAAGACAAGAGACAGACAGAAAGCGAGAAATCACCCCTTGGGGGGATGGCCATGCTGTAATCTCATCTCCTCCATTCTCCTCTCGGGATCTTGGGCACACATGCACACACACCCAGTGTGAGTTTAAGCCACTGGGTCTGGGACTCAAACCATGGATGACTACATGGGAGTCCAGCAACATTACACCAACTGCTGGTCCCCAAAGTTATAATTCTTTACTTTAAGGAAATTAAGAGCAAACTATAATAGTTGTTTATATGTACCCAAATATTTATCATTTAAGAGGCTCTTCATTTCCGACTAAAGGTTTGAGTATATCTGTAGTGTCATTTTGCCTATAGCCTGAAGAACTCCTTTTAGCATATCTTGCAATGCAGATCAGTTGGTGGTGTATTCTTAGCTTTATCTAAAGTGTCCTTTTTTCACCTTCATTCATATTTTCACTGGATGTAGGATTCTAGGTGACAGGTTTGTTATACCACTGTCTTCTAGTTATCATAGGTTTTTTTTGCTGAGAAGTTTATAGTGTTAAAACATCCTTTCCCTGTATACAATACGTCATTTTTCTGTCTGCTTTCAAATTTATCTTTACTTTCAGGAGCATGACTGTGATGTCTCTAGGCATGTGCATCTGTATTTAAACTGTTTGGGGTTTGCTGGGTTTCTCTAATCTGTAAATTTATGTTTTTCTGTAAATTTAGGGCTTTTTCAGTCAATGATTTTCTAAGCACATTTTTCTACTGCATTCACTCTCTCCTCTCCTTTTGGGACTTCCAATACTAAATATTATTAGACTTTTGATATTGGCCCACAAGTCTCTGACTATTGTTTTTAAAATACTTTTTCACTCTCTTAACTGGATAATTTCCATTTATGTAGCTTAAACTCATCAATTCTTTCTTGCATATAATCTCTGAATTCTCCTATTAAATGTATCTGGCAGATTTATTTTTAAAATTTCAGATACAGTTTTCAGCCGTAGAAATTTGTTTTAAGTTTATTTTATTCATGACAGAGTGAGTGCATGTAAGAGATACAGAAGCATTTTTAAAAGGGGCTCATCACACCCTAATGCTTTTCTCCCAAACCTATAATTCTTCAGAATTTTGGGCATGCATAAGCACCCAGGCTGGGGATACAAACCCATGGTCAGCCATGTGGCTTCCAACACTGCAGTTCAGTATGCTACCAACTGCAACAGGGTGGGCCTATTTTGAACTTTTGGTAGTTTCTATTTCTCTGGTGAGATTTCCTGGTTTTGTTTTGTTTTGTTTTGTTTTGTTTTATTGAAAGCATATTCTCCTTTATTTCACTGAACATAGTTAGATAGTTATCTTAAAGTGTGATAATTCTAATATGTGGATTTCCTTGAAGTTTATGCCATTGGCTATATTTTCCCTTCAGAATGGTTTGCATTTGTATAAGAAATGTTGTGGAGACCCTTACCCTGTCATATTCATTCAAAGTGTGGATACTTTTCTTCTAACAGGCAATTGACCTGGCTAGACAAAATAAAGTGGAACTCTGGCCTGCAATAGGAGGTAGTTCCGGTCTAAGACTGGCCCCTTTTTTCTTCAGCTGGGTGATTTAGATCTGTTTCTCCCATATATGATTCAGGGGTCAGCCAGAGATTTAACAGAGTTTATACACAGAATTTGGGGTTGTCTTTCTCTAGTACTCTCCTCTCCAGAATTTTCCTTAGTTTCTTATGACTCTACTTTGCTCAACTTTTGTACTGTTGGATCATGCCAAAAAATACTGCTGGTTTTCCTTTTTTTTTTTTTTTTTTTAAGAATTATTTTATTTATTTTGACTTGAGCAGAGAGGAACAGAGTGAGAAAGAGAGACGGGGGAAAGTGAGGAAAGCATGTCTGGAACTAGGCCATGTGGGAGTCCAGCGCCCTTAAATACCACGCCACCTGCCGGTCCCAGTACTGCCGATTTTCTATCAGAGCTTTAACTTTCCCACACCACATGGCACTGTGACTTGTTAAGCCATAAAAGGAAGCATCCTCTGTCAGTCTGTTCAGAATTTCAACTCTTCTCCCAAATCTACCTGCTCTTATTCACTCTCTAAAGACTTTTAAGTCTGTAGTCTTGTTTTCTTCTATTTTGTCCAGAGGTTATAGCTGTTGTATACAGCTGCAGGAGGCTTGGTCAGTTAGGAGGTTATACCACACTGCAGGCAAGGTGTTGCTTATGGAAATTAGCATTTTGAACTGATAGCGCTGTCTGTCTACCTCAGGCAGAAGAGTAACTCTTCAATGTTTATGTTAGGAATTGCTTGTCCAATGTTCTTAAAATTCAGGTATTTTTAGGTCTCATTCAGTCCTTTACATGGTACGGGCATTTAAAAAAAAGAAAGGCACTGAAGTAGAAATGCTTCGGTTCCAGTCCTAGTCTTAATAACAACTAGCTATCTAATTATTGTTAAAATTATCAATCATTGTAATTATCCAGTTTTTATTATAATTAACTCATTATTGTTAGCAAGTCTTGTGACTCCTTGTCCTGTAGAATGAGTGGCCTGGGCAGCTTTAAAGGTCTTTTGTGTATTTATATTACATCTTGTAACTCTATAATTATCTAATATAAATATTTTGAAGTCTCAGAGTTAACATCCTCATTTTAGAGAATTCAGAGGGTTGATTTCTTATATTGTGTAGCCAAAGGATATCTTTGTACTTAAAGATGTGGGTCATGTCATATTGATAACATTTTCCTCTTAATCTCAAATTGTCTAAAAAATACTTCATCCTCCCTTTAGTTTATGCCTTGGTTTTTCTCTGGGATTAAGATATTTTATCTAAAAACAATAACTGAAAAAAATTCATTTTAATCTAACATCACACTTAAAATGCTTTTCTATTTGTCTCTTAGGAAAAAGTGCTGCAAAGGGTATAAATTTGTTCTTGGACAATGTATCCCAGAAGGTATGTAATACAGAAGAAACTGTCTAGCTTTATTTACAGCTAATCATTAAACATTTACAAAGCTCAGATGTACATGGAATGCAGATGTTGTCTGCACATCTGTGTTGGTGTATAATTCCATTTTTTGGCAACTCTTCTAATGCCCATTTGGTTAGTATGCTCTCTCTAAATCATCATATATATAAACAGTCAGTGTCATCTTTCAGGTTTTGTGCTTACAAGGCTAGAATTCCCTAATTGACAGTTTTCTTAACAATTTTATTTTTAAAATTTATTTTATACACTTATTCATTGTACATCAACACAGCTTGTAAAATGAATATCCCCAGCATGAACACACTGCACACCAGCCCAGTTAAAGATATCGTGCATGCTATCATCAATGGACATTGATACACATTTGGACCACAGTTCTTCTCTCTGACTGCTCTACCTGCTCATATGCTAAACTTAAAGCTCATTTACATGACCACCACCAAACACTACCTGAATGCCCAGCCCAGCATTGAAGATGTGACAGACATGAGACATGGACTCAGCCTTCAGGGAACATGCACTGAAGTTAGAGACCGGATGGATCCTATGCAGTCAAGTAGACTGGCTTTTAATCATATGTCCATGTCCCAATAGCTATGGCCTTGAGTAAGTTACTGTCTAAGTCTTAGATTTTACAGATGAGTGTTAGTCCTTGCATCATATGGTTATTTTAAGAATTTTACCATATGCAGGATTACTAGGTGGTATGGTAGTTCTATTTGTAGGTTTTTTGAGGAACCTCCGTATTGTTCTCCATGATGGTTATACTAATTTACATTCCCACCAACTGTGTAGGAGGGTTCCCTTTCCACTGCAACCTTGCTAGCATTTGCATTCTTTATTTTAAAAATGTAAATTTAAGAAGTGTACATTTTTAAAATGTTTAATTTTAATGTTTAAAAAATTAGTTATATGTAAAGTACTTGGGATAGTATGGTGCTCAATAACTGGTGGCTATCATTAGTAACTGCAGTATGTGCAGTAGAGACACCAGTGCAGCAAGTGTTCAGTGTGGACACAGCACAGAGGACCAGGGCATTCAGGAGTGGCCTCAGAAAGGAGGGGAGAGGGCAGACTTGAGCTAGGAAATCAAGGAAGCCTTCCTGGGACTTAGACACGTGGGGAGAGGAGTTCTGCAAAGCATTCCAGGCCAAGCACGACACAGAAAGCACAGACTGTTTGAAGAGTATGGGATTCATTTGCCCAGGTATGGGGCAGGAGAGGTACATGGGGAATGTGACATTTCTCCTCACTGTTGCCCAAGAGGCCAGGTCTCTCTAGAGGACCTGGAATTTGGCCAAACTAGTTGTTACATTACCTCGTAGAGCACAGTTGCCTTATCACTCAGAAACAGATGAATCCTTGCTATGTATTGCTTTCTCTGGTGGAGGAATGCAAGAGTTCTTTAAGCCATGTCTGTGACCTTTGAGAGAGATGCCAGAGAAAAGTGGCTAGGACATCGCTCCCACATGTGGTAGTTGATATGGCTTTGGGTCTCTCCAAGCTGAAACTCCCTCTGCCAGTCAATTCTGTTAGTTAGAGCATGATGGGAAAAAAACCACAGAAGTCAAAAGTAATGCATTCCTTCATAGGCCAGCCTTCTCAGGCCCCAGCTGTGCCCTTTATAGTGCAGTTCGGCAAATACCAAAGAAAATTTAAGCTTAGGCCAATCAATTTAAGATCCTAACTAAAGGCCAGCCTAATTAAAGACATGTTACATGGATGCAGAGTTTCTGCAAATGTTACTGTGCTCTCAAACATCTAGGCCTCAGACCAACCCAGTTGAGAATACTATACATGTCATCATCAACAGTTAATAAGCCCTATCTGTTTCTCACTAACGTCCTGTCTCTCTATTGTTCACTTGCTATCTTTCTCTATCCTGGTCTGAGAAGTATTTCATGATGGGCAAAGTATTTTTACAAGCAAAACGAGAAATAGCAATTGACTGTTTTATAAAAATAATTAGAATAATAAAAATAATGATTGGGGAAAACAGAAAATATATGGAATGTTGAAGTGGGGAGATTAATGTCTCTGTACTGACTGACATGCATGGCATTCCCTTTTGAAAAAACAATGTAATACACTGTAAAGTTATATGTAATCCAATGTAATATAAAGAAGATTATGATGATAATAAAAATAAAAAATAAAAAAATTTAAAAAAAACATCTAGGCCTAAGCCAGATTGTCACACTAACGTAGGACTCTAGCACCCGTGGTCAATGTAACCTAGTACTAAATATTCCCAGGGAAAGTGGTCACAAAGGCTGAAAGTTGCTTCGCCATAACTGACTCTCTGCTTTATTGCTTTTTGCTAGAGCTTGTTTTGAAGCTGATTTATTTTCATCTGTAGGAATTAGGTCAGGACTTGATTACTTGTTTCTTTTACTAGACATACCTTTAATTATAAAGGTTTCAGTCACCCAAGAGTGCAAAGCACGAAAGTAAGATTTCAGAAAAGGATGTATTGAATGAAGGTTCTGCTGTGAAATAGAACCCACAGAGTGTGTGTGGAGTGAGACTGGCGTTTATTTTAAAGGTAGTGGCTCACAAAGTTGTCGAGGTGAAAGTCTGAGGTCTCAGGTCTGGTCAGCAGGCTGAAGATCCAGGGAAGAGCCACAGTTCAGATCTGCATGCCTTCTGCTGGCAGAATTCTCTCTCCACCAGGGAGCTCAGTCTCTACTCAGTTGAGACATTCCACTGATTGGAAGGGAACCACCCACATTGTAGAGGGTCATCTGCTTTACTCAAAGCCTACTGATTTTAATGGTAATCTCACCTAAAAAAAAATACCTTTGCAGATATGTCTTAACTAATATATGACCAAATACCTAGGTACTTTGCTTTAGCCGAGTTGGCATATAACATTAACCAGCACAGGCCCAGCCTAGATAGCACAGTTAGTGACATGTTAGACTGCAGTCCTAGAGGCCCCAGGGACGGCCATTGGTTCAAGTCCTTGGCTCAGTCAGTTTGAAGCACTCCAGGTATACACATGCATGCCCAAGATTCTGAGGAGCTGGGGGACTGGAAGGAAGAGGATTATGGCTTGGTGGGACCTTGTCAAGGGTGTTTGTCTTTCTCTCTCTCTCTCTCTCCCTTTTTCTTACACACTTTCTCTCCATTGTAACTGAAAAAGGAAAAAGTTAACCATCGTAAATCTACGTCTTGTCACCTTGGTACCCGTACACATATCCATAAACCATACTTAATCTTAAATGAAGGCAGTAACAAGCTCCTATTCATGTAACACGATCCAGCCTTTCTTTGCAACTCCTTGGGTAATGTTTACGTTTATCCTTGATATGCTGAATCTTAAAAACTGTGATGTAAAATTAACAATACTTAAAATGATGATATAAAGTCACTGCATCTTATGATACATAAGGGGATAAAAGGGAAAAAAACAGATATTTACACACATAAACACACATGCATTCATAAAAAAATGAAGAAAGAAATACTCTTGATGGTTCCAGTGCATGATCCTGTAAGTGTTCACTAACGGGTCATGTGGTCATTAGCTGCTTTTGTAAATACCTTCTTGTCCCACCCATTCCTTTGTCCCTCTGCCCTCAAAAAGTACCTTCCCTAGTCGTGTCTTTTTTTCTTTCCCTGCTGAGGTGACCCAGATACATGTTCTTGTATTCCAGACACATCTTTCTAGTGCCCTTGTGATATTAGCAATACATCTGACCTTTGGTATTGATTACCCCCGTGAGCACAATAACTCCCTTCTTTACCTGCTGATTTAGAGGCATCAGGAACCACCGAGCATCCAGATCTTAGCTTCCAGTTCATTGAGATCATTGTGTGTTCCTGGTAGAAGCATTCATTCCTTTGAAACTAAGACCTCTAGGCCAGCAAAGGACAAGATTGCATGAACAGGAAGCAAACTTTTGCTAATGAGTCAATAGAGTGTAATAATGAGTGGTGGCACTTCCCTTTCTGCCCCTTCATTCCTGGACCTATGAATCCCGGTTAAGGGAAAACCCATACCATATACTGGATGCTGATTCAGAACACAAGGATCCTTGCCTCAGATGAGATGTGTGGGTACTGTGGTCTAGCCAAGTTGGCAAGTTAAAGTTAACAATCACAGATTGCCAAAAGAGACCAGGGTTTTGAAACAAATATGCTCCCAGTGAGTGGAAGCTCCAATTTTTGAAAGTGTTACTGCCTGATATCCATTGCCCTACGTCAGGGGTCAGTGAACTGGTGGCCTGCCCACTGCTTGATTTTTTAAGAGTTTTACTAGCCATACCCCCGCATTGAAGTGTCATCTATGGCCTCTGCACAATAGCAGTGGAGCGGAGGAATTGCAACAGATGCTTATGAAGCCAGAATATAATCCTGCTCCCTTACAGAAAAAGCCAGCCCCAGATGTAAGTGATATATCTAGACTGACTAAGTGATAGGATGATGAGATTTGTTCTACCTCAGTGGTTCTTAATTGAGCATAAACTGTGGGAAGGGTGTCCTGGTTACTGCAGTGGACAGTCCCCGCCAGGTAGCCAAATAATCACAGAAACTAGCAGCAAAAGAAGCCAGAGAGCAGGTAAAGCATCTACTATCTGTTAGGCATTGTGCTTAATGTGTCATCCAATTTAGTCTTAATGGAAGCACCTCGAAGTACGTATTATTGTTATCCTTATTTTACAGATGTGAAAATAAAGACTTAAAAAGTCCAAGATGACAGAGATAGTGGCAGAGTTGGGAGGGTTGGCTCGCACTGTGCACCATAAGGCTGCATGCTTCCTAAGACAGGAAGAGTGGTCCCCAGATGAATATGGCAGGGCAGATGAGTAAAAGAGGTACAGAGTCCCGTGGGTGTTGGTAGGACAGTTCAACTAAATTCTGTTGAGGACTTCAAAGAAAGCTTTTTACAGGAGTCGCATTACATTGGCACTTGGAACACTTGATGGAATATCAACAGTTATCTGTTGAAAGAGAACTGC